CATGATCATTACTACTTGAAATATCAAAAGCTGAAAATTAATTAATTATGCAAATTAGGTAATTAATATGTACTGATATTACCCTAAAAACTATCAGGTCTGTGCAGTGTCATATGACATATATGTACTCATATGACATATAAGTTTTATTGACATGTTATGATTAGTACTTGAGATATCAGTGGAAAAGCCGAAAATTGATTAATCATTATGTAAATTAGGTAATTAATAATATTAACAGATTTTTACCCAAAAATAATCAAATCTGCGCATTAGTTCAGAGCATCCATGTGCCAAGTTTCATTGAAATCCAATGAGTGGTTCTTCAAAAATCAGTGAAACAGTCATAGAACAGCTTAAAATCAGTTAATTATCATGCAAATTAGGTAATTAATATTCATAGATTTTTACCCAAAACTAATCAAATCTGGGTATTGGTTCAGAGCATCCATGTGCCAAGTTTCATCAAAATCCAATGAGTGGTTCTTCAGATATCAGTGGAACAGTCTTGGAACAGCTAAAAATCAGCTAATTATCCAGCAAATTAGGTAATTAATATTCATAGATTTTTACCAAAACCTAATCAACTCTGCGCATCATTCCAGAGCATCTATGTACCAAGTTTCACAAAAATTTGATTAGTGGTTCTTGAGATAACGGTGGCACAAAAAAAGTGACATACATACATACATACATACATACATACATACATACATACATACATACATACATACATACATACATACATACTACATACATACATACGACATACAGACATACAGACAGGGTAGCTGCAAAGACTCCCTTTTGTGCTTCGCACACGGGAGTCAATAAAATTAAAATTTTTAGTTCTGAAAAATCATTCCATATGAAATTGTTTTTGTGATATTTTTGACTGATGTATTTACCTTCGTCGTCTGGCAGAAGCTGAACTAATTCATAGCTGCTGATTGGTTCTTCATCCTTTTGGTATTTGCATAATGCTGTTGCTATGACAGCAGGTGTATGCTCTTCATGGTTTACCTACAGGTAATACAATTGATTGTAAATTCATTTTATCTGGTAACTTGGGTTTTGTCTAACACAAACAAGGAAATTATGTAAAATGTGCAAAATGAGACACTAAAACAATGAAAAAATAAAAAACAAAATTTAAACAACATTTTTTAGAAGACTTGTGTATTTAAAGATATAATTGTTTCAATTAATTCAAAATTCCATACTAATTGAATGAATACTAACATTCGTTGCCATGACAACATCCTTTATTTTAAGATAAATAATTCTATATTATCCAGCAATATAAAATTAAATTAAAAAGATCAAAGTTGTTAATATTGACTTTTTAATTATTATTTTATGTTTAAATTTCAATCATTAATAAAAGGCAAATGTAAATTTTGGAAACTGCCATATTATTTCTTATTGTCAAATAAGTCATTTCATATTCGGAAATTACAAATCCTAATAAGGTAAGTTGTATAATAACATTTGTTGATACTTACTAAAATACTCTTGTAAATATTGCCCTGGTCTGAGTTGTTCTCCATGCTCACTTTGATAGCACAACTTGTTGGAGACAGGTATCTAGGCGACAACGGTGTCAGTGATGAAGAAGAGCTGATTGATGATAATTCTATTGATAAGGATGAGCAGGATGACGATCTTGACATTCTCTGTCGAAGAAAATAAAATAGAATAATTAATTAAAATTATTAATATAATGAAAAGCCATAAAATCTGAACAGCAAGTAAGAGTGGTTTTCACAGAGTATTTTCCAGAGTGAAGCTATGTCACAAAACTTTCTATGTTGTTCTAACACGCACCATTGTTCTGTGTATTTCTATGGGCTCTGTGCGAGCTGATGTAGAACGCCGGTCGAGCCGGTGAAAACAGCTAAAGTCAAGGAAACAACACAAACTCAACTTTTAGGTATGGTTTTTATGGTCTTTGTTTTCACTGCTGCGTTTGCCAGGCGGTGAAATGCTTCGATGTCCGCCTTCGAGAATACCACTTCAAAAGTTAATAAGTTATTTTTTAGAGTCAAAATTAGCATGGAAATAAAACTTAGAAACCAGTGTTCTCCCAAGGTATTTTTGGGCAGGTTCATTGTTTTACTGTGCAAGAAAACAATATAAATTATGTTATTCTAATAAGGCTACTCATTATGTAAATTAAGCTGTATTGTTATTTAAATGATATACATAATTGTTTAAAAGAACCACTGGAACTTGCCACAATGTTGGGTCAGCACAAGTTTTTTCAGGAAATAACCTTGTCAAAAGTGTACAGTTGTTTAATAACCTAAATTGAGCTTATTGTTCTATAGCAATATTTAGTCCATGGCAAATGCAATACCCACCATCAATCCAGGTGCTGGCGAATCTGAACTTGAAACGCTGACTCCATCTTCTGAACTTGTAGATGACCCACTTGAAGACCAATGAAATATAGCCGATCTTCGTCGCCACGTTCCTCTGAAAACAAAAAGTAAAATTAAAAACATTTCAAAAACCAATGAAAAGGATGAGCTTAGTTGATGTCAAAATAGCACATTAAATTGATTTTCGCTGAAGGAATGATTCAGTGAAAATAAAATCCATTGAATATACCTTTTATCCTATATTTTACATTCAACTTGTCAAAAATCAGTAAAAATAAATTCCATACAAAACACCCAAAAAGTCCTTTCAGCGAAAACTAATTCCAGCTAAAATAAATATTTTACAGTAGTAAAACCATACCTACCTTGCACCAATCAATATAGAGTGAGCCATGCCCAAGAGTTCAAATGGCTAAGTATGAATAAGCATAGCAAAATATGCAGTGTTCTCCCCAGAAATTTTTCATAGAGTCGCGGCTAATTTGCATAATAATTAGCATATAATTAGCATAAATTAACATATTGTTTGTCATATGGGGAAATAAAACAAAACCAGTTTTTTTCCTTTTTTTCTATTTATTTTATGTACAATCTGTATACAATTATTGCACTGCATGTTTAGTATTGCAAATGTCCTGCAGAAATACTGAGTTTTCTGTTTCTTTGCTTGGCCCAGCAATCAGCAACTTTATAAAACCCTGTTCAGTCCCGGTAAATTAAACATGGGGTTGATTATTCTCATTGCTTGTCTTCCGTTTCTGTTGTTTTCCGATTAAGTACAACAACTGTTACGAGTCACGATACTTAACACGCTACTATGTTCGAGCAATAATAGTTTTTCTGGCTGAAATTATCCATCTTTATGTATTTTTTTTAATCATCGATGTTGTCTGTTCAACACAATTGTGAACAATTCGAGACAACGGAGGTCTGAATTACGAATTGTCGCCATTGTTATACCACGTAATATTGAGGTTTTTCTTCCAAGAAATAACACAAGTGTCACTCCAATTTCCACACGTTTCTTGATTAGAATTCCCGATTTCTTGATAAATATATTATTTTCAATTATGCTTCACTTAATTCATCCGAATCTGAGCACGATATGCGATCCGAGTGGGAAGTTCACGCTCGCTGGATCTTACATGGGTGACGCCATCTTGGATTCACAATCACAAGGTCAAAATTGTTTACATCATAAATATATATTTTTTCACATTTTGATCTCAAAAAACAAATACAATATCAAAAATACTGACAAAAATCAAAACTTAGAATAATAGTACGACTACATTTCTAAAAATAATAATGAAAATACGTTTCGTACACACCAGAAACATGTGGCTTTTGACCCCAAGTGTGACTATATCATTTGCATATGAATATACGTTTGGCAAAGAGCGTTTGACACCGGGGCTTACGGCTTTGTCTTTATAGAACTGCTTTGTTTTTTTAAAACGATATCCAACCAATGAGAAAATCCCGGGAAATTGGCGTTAATACAATGCATTTGTAGATTTAACTAGTTAGCCAGGAAAATTACAGTCTACAGAGACTGAAGAAATCAGATCACGGGATAAATAATAGCATCGCGGAGGAAACACAGCGTCGCGGGCAAATTCGATCGCGTCGGGGCCCGCGACGCTGTTTTGGCCTGGGGAGAACACTGATATGTCATGTGACTTACCCGAAACTAAACTGTGACTTTTTGTGGCTTGGTGTCTTTGGACTGAGCGGTTCAATAATACATGACAGATGATAGCTAGGGAAGAAAAAAAACGTTTTTAGAATATTATACTAAATTTATTTAATAATTTTCTTGCATACTGTTTGGTACACATATACTCAAGTGTTGATAATAATCTCTGTCAAAAAACAAACAATTTGCATAATAATACAATATAATTTGATGTACTATGAAAAAAAAAAAAAATTAACAAAATCTTTAGCTTAGTGGTTTTTAACTAGCACCCTAGCTTACATGTTGTGAACTGAGCAAACAAAATCTGACACCTTAGCTTAGGGGTTTTGAACTAACACCCTAAACTTACATGTTGTTAACTGAACTAAGCAAACAGAATCTGGCACCCCTAGCTAGCTTACAGATTGTGAGCTGAGCAAACAAAATCTGGCCCCTAAACTTAGTAGTTTTGAACTGAGCACCCTAGCTTATATGTTGTGTACAGAGCAAACATAATTTTGAACCCCTAGCAACCAAATAGATTGTGAACTGAGTAAACAAAATCTGGCTCCTTAGCATAGTGGTTTTCAACTGAGCACCCTAGCTTACAGAATATAAACTGAGCAAACAAAATCTGGCCCTTTAGCTTAGTTGTTTTGAACTACCGGTAGCACCCTGGCTTACATGTTGTGAACTGAGCAAACAAAATCTGACACCTTAGCTTAGTGGTTTTTAACTAACACCCTAGCTTACATGTTGTGAACTGAGCAAACAAAATCTGACACCTTAGCTTAGTTGTTTTGAACTAGCACCCAGGCTTACATGTTGTGAACTGAGCAAACAAAATCTGGCACCCATAAATGAAAATAACCACGACAATTACAAAAGGAATATTTGTGGAAGATTACAACGGAAGTAATATGCTTTTAATAGTCAGATTCTTTTTTTCATTTTAATTCAAGGTTTTCATTCTGAAAGCTCTTCTCTGTTTGGTTGATTCATGAGCAATGCAGGTTGAGCAGCCAATCAACACAATCCAAACAATAAGACTGCACCATACCTTTGTTCATCTGTGTATATCTTGACTCCATCCATCCACTTCTGGAAATCTTTGTCAGAATGGATGTGATAGTTCTGAGCTGCCTTCTGCAGAAGTCTAATCTGAGCAAGAAGTTCAAATTCCTGGAAAGTGAAAAAATAAATTTATCGTAAAATTATTTTATTTCAATATTTTCCTCAATACCCTCATTTGGGATAACCAATGGCGGGGTTGACATTTCATTTATAAATATTTTCTAAATATTTAACAACCATTTAGCAAATCACAGCAACTGGTGAGAATGAAACTAATTTCAAATTGAGAGGGCCACCCACAGAACTTAGTTACAACCCAAACTTTTAATCAATTATTCATATATTATATTTTATCATTAGGCCAGACTTTTTTTATTTCTTGTTTCTCAAGTTTTTATAAGGGAATTTTTTTGAGGAGGGCGGAAAAAAATTAAAATTTTTTTTTTTTTTTCTATTAGATTTGTGTGATTCTCAAAGAATTGTAAATAAGATCATTGATCGGAAGGAAGAAATGAAATAAAATTTTATTCCATAACCTTGTTTCTCATCTGCGCGAGACTTCAGTTCTTTGATCATGATACTTCCACGAAAATGCAACTTGGATTTGGTATGCGGTGGGCGGTAAAAAAATGAAGATAAAAATAATATTTTTTTAGCAATTTTTTGCGAGAAATTACGCTGAAATAAAATTTTATTTTTATTCTTATTTCATTTTCGACTCCTGTTCATTCGCCGGCTTCGCGAAACAAGGGATAATAAAAGTCTGGTCTTATGGCACCAGCTTTTCCAATATAAATATAATTTGAAACCAAGTTCTTTTACAGTATGCATATTAGGCTAGGGTGTCATTCAAGAAAGGCAGACTTCCTAGTTTGATGGATAATGTGACATACCTTTCTCTTCTTTTCAAAGTTGATATAACCATTTTGTAATATATCATCGGGATATGCTGAATGAATCATCATTAGATCAGTGAGGAATGTACCCAGGTATGGAATTGTCCCATGAACGATACTAGACTGGAGGAAGAAAAATCAATTAACATTGTTATCATTTGAAATAAATTAAAGACAAGTCATTGAAAATGACACAGTCCCTGTTAAATTTTTGAAAGTTCTCTTTGTGCTCGTCATATTAAAGTGGAAGGGTTGTCGCGAGCGTGTCCTTGAAACTTGAGTTCCAAGTGGCGCATACAACAGATTGTTTATTTACATCAAAACACATGTTCCGTGTGGTAGTAATATGGCCAAAAATAAAAACAGCCGTTATTCAGCCATCTTTGATCTGATTATGAAACACACTGATATGTATGATGTATGTGCCAAATATGAATGAAAATGGTACATAAATTGTGCAAATATAGTAGTAAAGCCAAAAAGTCAGATGGCTGTCAATCGGCCATCCTTGACCAGATTTTGAAACAAATTGTCATGGACATGCATCCTATTTAAACATGTATAAAGTACATGTATGTGCCAAATTTGAATGAAAACTGACAGAGCATGTCCAAGATACCGCATAAAAAACAAAAACAAGATGTCTGCCAGTCGACCATCTTTGATCCAATTGCGAAATATATCGTCATGGACATGTATCCTAACATGTATAATCTATGTACCAAGTTTGAATGACAACTGACAAAGCATGTCCAAAATACAACATTTTAAAAAAACAAGATGGCTGCCAGTCGGCCATTTTGAATCAAATCCCTAAACCACTGCATGTGCATATGTCCCACATAAGGTACTAGGCACATGCAAAGAATGAACGGAATCGGTCCACAGGATTCTGAAATATGACTCTGGACAGACTGACGCATGGACGGACGGACGGACAGACAGACGGACGGACGGAAAGACTCAGGAACTCACGAACGGCCAGGGACATGTATCCTAACATGTATGATCTATGTACTAAATTTGAATGAAAACTGACAAAGCATGTCCAAAATACAACATTTTCAAAAAACAAAATGGCTGCCAGTCGGCCATTTTGAATCGAATCGCTAAACCACTGCATGTGCATATGTCCCACATGGAGTACGAGGCACATGCAAAGAATGAACGGAATCGGTCCACAGGATTCTGAATTATGACTCTGGACAGACTGACGCACGAACGGACGGACGGACACACGGACGGACGGACGGATGGAAAGACTCAGGAACTCACGAGCGGTCGGGGACATGTATCCTAACATGAATGATCTATGTACTAAAATGGAATGAAAACTGACAAAGCATGTCCAAAATAAGACATTTTCAAAAAACAAGATGGCTGCCAGTCGGCCATTTTGAATCGAATCGCTAAACCACTGCATGTGCATATGTCCCACATGGAGTACGAGGCACATGCAAAGAATGAACGGAATCGGTCCAAGGGATTCTGAGATATGACTCCGGACGGACGCACAGACGCATGCACGGACGGAGACCGAATTATAAGTTTTCGGACATCTACTATCGACCAATCAGAATTCATTTTGCAGTAAACATCTGGCTGTCGGCCAACCAGAATTGATATTGCATAAAATACCTGGCTATCAGCTGATCAATTTTTTTTTTAAATAAAGACAATTATTGCACAATACAGACGCAGATCCAGCTTTATAAAAACTTACCAACTCTTTCTTGAGAGACTTTCTCCTCATGGTTCTCGATCGTATTGTAGATGATTTGTCAACAAACTTGGCAGTGCCTTCCTGTGTTTAGTACAAGATATAAAACATACATCATAAACTTATACTATGAGTAAGCTGGTCAGCTATATAAAGTTATAATGACAAGGACGGAAACTTGCTAAACAGTAGTTTGTTCATTTTTGAACCAGAACTGTGGAGCAGCTCTTCCAATGTAGGAATACAATGTTTTCCCCAGACCTAAGAATATGATGTTTTACTGTGCTTGTCACAGAAATGCCGTGTTTGAATACTGACAGAAAAAATACTGTTGGGAACCAGAAATTGTATATAACACATCAACCTACCTTCATTAAAATTTCTCTCCATGCCTCATGATTATTTTCATGTGAAAAGATTTCAGAAAGTTCTTCAAATATCACCACAGAATCCCTGCAATCGTGAATGATAGACAGGTTGTAAAAACAAAATAAATGTTGATGTTACTAACAGAGGGCGCTTCATAGGAAGTGAGTGTAAATTGATTTTTTTTTTGTATTTAACATTGTGTTTCAATAGAATGAAATGTCGTTGAAATTTTATTTCTTTATAGGAAACAGAATTTAGACACAATCTAAAAAGTGAATCAATGTGACCTATGACCTGAGCTTGAACTTAGACACACTACTTACTTTGGCACTGCCGTCCACGTCCTCCGTAGTCTGTGAATACAATTGGCTTGCAAACCAGATAATATTGCTTTCAAAGATGAAAAATTCTTCAAGTTTCTACATTCCTAGAAGACAATACAAATACATGTGAGGAAGCACTGAGAACTGAAAGTACTACAATTGGTAGAACATGCAAATCAGCTACATGGGCCCTCTAGACAGATTATTATAATAATAATAACTTTATTGTAATTATATATTTTGAATAGAACATAGTCAAATGCTATTCTAAGAAACAAACCGAAATGAAGAAAATAAATATACTGACAACACTGGGTTAGAAAGTGGTACTTTCGTTAATATAAATTGCCAGTTCTATATGTATGTTGCCCATAATATATATAAACTTTGCTTCATTATCTAACATATTGAAATGATGATTTGAGGTTTGTGCTGATTGAATTAAGCTCATCGTGCTGTCTTGCTTCTTTGTGTTGTGGACAATCAATCAGAAGTGAAATTCATCCTCAACTTTATTAGTACCACACCTTTCACACATTCTATCATCCGCTTTTGTTTTTGGTCTTGTATGATAACTTTTCTCTATCATTAAATTACCGGTATGATCACTAATTCTGAGTTTGCATACATATTTTCTATAAATTGTATTTTTAATTTTCGTCTAGTACTGCTCTGTTTTAAATTGATATGACGTTCCACTGAAGCACAAGGTGTTACAGCTAGCTGTGCTAATTCACTAGTGTGACATTGATATAATGACATTGAAAAACATCTTACTACAGTTATGTAATGTGTAGTTTGATGAAATTAAATTCATATTTTGAATGTAAAAACAAAAGGAATCAGGACCACAACATTTTTGTTTGTGTTTGTTTTTTAAGACCGACTTCTCCAGTAGTCAACAATCCACATGATTTTTGGGAGATTCTATTTTGAATCAGAATTTCTATAAGTTCTGACTGAAACTATCCCATAATAGTACTTTGTCATAAGAAACTATCCCATGATTTTTTGGAGATTCCATTTTGAATCAGAATCCCTGTCAGTTCTGACTGAAACTATCCCATAATAGTACTTTGTCATAAGAAACTATCCCATGATTTTTGGGAGATTCCATTTTGAATCAGAATCCCCATCAGTTCTGACTGTAACTATCCCATAATAGTACTTTGTCATAAGAAACTATCCCATGATTTTTTGGAGATTCCATTTTGAATCAGAATCCCTGTCAGTTCTGACTGAAACTATCCCATAATAGTACTTTGTCATAAGAAACTATCCCATGATTTTTGGGAGATTCCATTTTGAATCAGAATCCCCATCAGTTCTGACTGTAACTATCCCATAATAGTACTTTGTCATAAGAAACTATCCCATGATTTTTGGGAGATTCCATTTTGAATCAGAATACCCATCAGTTCTGACTGTAACTATCTCATAATAGTACTTTGTCATAAGAAACTATCCCATGATTTTTGGGAGATTCCATTTTGAATGAGAATCCCTATCAGTTCTGATTGCAACTATCCCATAATAGTACTTTGTCATAAGAAACTATCCCATTACTTTGTCTCACATGAGTATCCCATAATAGTATGTGTTATACAGAAGTATCCCATAATATTTACCTGTGCTATATGTATCCACTTGGTAATGATCTTAGCTCTCAATGATGCCTTCAGTGTTGGGTCACCGAGTATCGTTGATATCACTAGATATGATACTTTATTGAATTGTTCAACAGTAGCTTTCACAGTTGACGCTATGGAGTCTTCTTTGTCTCTCTTTGACCATAGCGTTCCAAGGCAATGCGGTATTACCACTTGTCGAAACAAGGTCTAGTTGACATTTAAAAAAACAAAACAAGTATGAAGTATAATATGTAGCAAGCAATGCCCGGCAAGCAAGCACAGTCGAGTAGTTTATCGATTTACTAAAAATAGAACTGACTTAACCGTAGAACGTTAAAGTGTGTGAACTGAGGGAATCAAAGTAATAGTCCCTGTGCAAGTTCAGAGTGATTTGAGATGGTGCCACGCATGATTCGTGTTATGCCGCTGATCAAAACACTATTCGAAGATAAACTTTTTTCAGTCCGTTGTCAGAAAATTATTTTTATAAAATTGAAGAACATTCTGAAAATTTGTATCAAGAATGAACTATGTTGATTCACATATTTTGTGAAACAACAAACAAAATGGCGGTACCTATGGCCTGAAATGTACCAGGGTAGCGGTATATCTTCCATACTCTTCTATATAATATACAAATGCTATCTATAGAGCTCGTTTTGTGATCACCCTGTTCTTACTACACTATAATTTATATACAAGTCATTTTTAATAATATTAAATCTTACAATTCTGATCAGCCTAATCATTTTGCAATATCATTTTCAGTTTCTAAGAATCACATTTTTGTTTCTTTTTAGAGAGTAAAAATTCTTTTAACATAATTTGATCATTTCCCATTTCCTCAAATTCATGTTTATTTAAAAAATTTTAATTTAGACCATGCACTGTTATAATATTCAAAGTTGACAGAATTCAACAATTTTCAACTAGTCATAATGATATATTTCCATGGTTACTTACAGCATCCATATATGTGAGTTGTTCAGCAATATAGTCTTCTTCCATTTGATGGAACTCTCTTGGGTTCATCATATTGTCGACTTCTTCAACAATTGAGAACGTGAACTGACTGTCAGCTGAGGAATTCATTGACGAACCGCTACATACACCTAAAAATAATAATTGTACAAATATGAATATTCTGTATTGAGGTCAATGAAAACAAAACATTTTTTTACTGTCAAATTGTATTGCACTTTGTAATCATTACCTGTTATCCATACTTATATAAAATTTGCAAATATAGTTTTGATTGATTCTAATGATTTCATTGATTATTGGCACTGATCTGTGACCTGTTAATGACCTGTTTCAGAGCATTGTGGTGTGATAGTAACATTAGAGTAATATATTGACCTGCTTGAGTGCATTATGCCATGATATTGACATGGAAATAATTGATTGACATAAGGGAGTGCATTATGGAGTGATATCGACATGGGTATAATTTATTGACTTGCTTGTGTGCATTATGGAGTGATATCAACATGGGTATAATTTATTGACATAATGGAGTGCAATATGGAGTGATATCGACATGGGTATAATTTATTTAGATAATGGAGCGTATTATGGAGTGATATCGACATGGGTATAATTTATTGACCTGCTTGAGTGCATTATGCCATGATATCGACATTGGAATAATTGATTGACATAATGGAGTGCATTATGAAGTGATATCGACATGGGTATAATTTATTGACATAATGGAGTGCAATATGGAGTGA